TCTGGTAGAGTCAGTCAGTGAACATTTGTTAAGCACCTATAATATTCCAGGCACTGTGCTGAGCACTGGAATACAAAGAAAGTCAAAAGACAACCTCTGCCCTCAAGGTTGTTAAGGGCAGGGAGACTGCTTGGACATTACATTTCATACATTTTCAAAAATGATCCTTGTAGCTAATATTTTTGCTTAGCTGGTTTTCTTATGAGATGAGTCAGTTTTCAGGGAAATGCCCAGAATTTTCCCAAAATGACTGTGATAGAAAATAAAAGAGCAATGAAAGTCATTAAAAAAACAAAACAAGACAAAAAACAGGCAGGAATATAAGATGTTACTTTCTGCATAAGCACAATTATTGTGCCATTCATAGAGAGGATGAGATTGTTTGTTGTCTTGGCAACTGGAGAATGGTGAGGTGTTTACTTGGAAGTGGGTTCTATATAGGCAGTTGTTACAAGTGATGGGCGATCTTTGGTGATGCAGAACTGATCTTCAGAGAAACTTGTCTGCTAAGCTAGTGCTGCTTCAAGAATTCCTCCTAAGGCTGTAGTGATGGGAATACATAAACTTTAGTTTTCTGAGAGGCCTGACATTGGTAGCAGAAGTCATACAAACCGCAGCATATAGCAGAACTGTCTCTTCTATTTATGTGAAGTCAGTCTATAGTGGAGAAGACTTGTGTAAATGAATAGCAGGGTAACTCTCACTTCTTTTCTTACTCAAGCCTAAATTTTCTTAAGCTACATAGACTTAGTGGAAGGATGATAAGCACTGAATTGAATAGCACTTCTCAATCTGGTTTTCCTTTTAAAGGATGTTTTATCTTTTATAATTTAATATCAAAGTAGATTCCAGTTCTTCATAAAATTAAATAGTTTGCTACATATTTCCCAATAGCAGGCTAGTAGAAGATTATCTGAAAATGAATCATTTTGGGGGGAAATTTCTTCTGTTATCAAATAGTTCTTGATACTTACCCAAATATATTTTGCCTCAGTCGCTGACATTTTGATTTCATTTGTTCAACCATGTTAAGCTAAGTTAAAGTAATGCTGATAGCCACACTCTGTTGGTTTGCCCTAGAGATTATCTAGTTCTGGGACAGAATATTTCTGAAGAAGCAAAGTTTATTTGATTTTTAGAATCACGTAAGACTGAAAATCCTAGTAAGGATTATAAAATATGTGAATGACAAAGTATTATATGTAAATCCATAAGTTTAATGTAACTTAACAACTATTCAAATATTATATATTTTAAATTTCTAGGCAGCTTTGCATTTTGAGGCTTCAGATGTTTGATGGTGTTATTTTTTTTTCGAAGAAATTGACTAGTAGGAGAAGGTATACTTTTTTTTCTTTCTTTGGTCTTCATTATTTTTTTTTTAAAAAAGATCATTTCAGCAGTGCTCATTCTACATAATGCCAAACAAATTATTTGGAAAAAATGAACCAATATATTCGTTAAGAACCAATGTATTCAGTAAGAAATGTGTTTTTTAACAAGGGAATTGTGTTAGGAAATGTTTCACCAAAATTTATTATTTGAACTCAGTATATTCCACTGTCTAGGAGTGGAGGGTGAGGTATTCAGTGAATCACCAATCTTAAGGACTTAAAAGACTTAAAAGAATTTAATCTCTTTAGAGAGGCAGCATGGTATGGTGGGGAGTACCAGATTTAGAATCAGAAGACCTCAGTTCAGATCCTGACTTGGCTATTTACTGTTTGTGTGACCTTGAACAAGTTATAAATAACCTCTTGGTCTCAGTTTTCTCATCTTACAATGATGTTCAGGTGATGTCTAAGATCTCATCCAGCTTTAAATTCAATAATTTTTATTTCTGTAAGACTGCCTTACAAGGTAGAAGATTTTTGTTTTCAATCAGGGGCATATTCTTAGGATTAGTGCCAGTTAATTTATACACCTTATGCAAATGGTGACACCATTAACTCTCAGGAACAGGAGTCAATATTGGAATGGCATTCTATATTCTAATGGCATTCTGTACTTAAGATTCATAGATGAGACTTTGTTAGATACTTGAGGGAAGCCTCCTTTTCCTGTTCCACACAAGAGCACCTCCTTCTCTAGGGTGTGGCATGGTCACAGTTTTCAGAAGGGAGTATGTCACATTCCCCTCTGATGACATGGTGATGAACTATGTGGTAGGGAGCAAACATACAGTTTTGACCTCTGACTTAGAGTTTGGAGAATCTGATGGAATTAGTTTAGGCAAGTCATAAAAAAAATTGAACTTTTCCCAAATGTCTTCTCTAATTCTGTTTTGTTCGCAGTCTAAATTGTTTATATAGTGAGACTGTGTAAGAACAGGTTAGATAAATATTAGTGCCTCAAAATTATCAGAACACTAGTAGTAAGGAGCTGGACGAACTGGTCCTGAGGAAACAGTCAGCCCTGTTTTCTGTTATCAACAAAAGAAAGAAAAATGCTATGTCTTGATGAGACAGGCCCCTTTTTAATTTTTTGACTCCGTTGATTTTATATTTTTTGAATGTCAACAACCTGCCAAATATTTTAAGACAAAGAAAGTCACTGTTCCTTCCTGTGGGGGCTTGCGTGTGAAGGAGATGAGGCAGTCAAGTCTTTCTCTTTCCCTATTTTTATGTCTCACAATGAAGCTGCAAAAAGATGATTATGAAATCTGTTGCTTAAAGGTGAATGCCCTTTTCACCAAACCATAGAATTTAGGAAGGCTTTCCGGAAATGAAGAAATTTAGAGAGAATTTTCAGTAAAAGGAAAAGAAGTGCTTTGATGGGCAGGAGTTAGGAAGACATTCCAGGCATTATTGACAACATAAAAGAGGCCAGAATGATTCCATTCCAGTACACTTCAAAGAGTGGATGAGAAAAGATGAGAGAAGATAACTTCAAGGATAAGATATTGGCCAGATTTGCCAGACATTCACAGCGATCAGTGGCAAGCCACTGATTAAATCTTTTTTTTTTTATTCTAAGCCTTTAGAAAGTGGATACATGCCAATAATGCAAGACATTCATTTGTGGTTTCATCCCTGATGAATTAACTCTCACTCATTTCCTCTTTCAGTAAAACAGATTGGTTAAAATAACTGTCTGAGGAATGAATGTTGCACCAGGGATTCAGTCTATCAAACATGTGGGAAACAGTAATTAGATTGGAAGGCCAAAGATGAAAAAAGCAGCTGTAGTCTCTGGGGGGAACTGGAGTATACCCACTGGTGCCCTTATGTATTTCCACTATAGGCTGTGATTTCACTGCCTCTCTCTTTATTATCATTAGGCCTATGTCCTCTTCCTCCTGCATTGGAAAAATCCACTTTTTTGATCTGGCTGACCTTCTTAGTTGTCTTAGGGTAAGCAAATGACAATTCCAGTTCCTGTACTTGTTAGCAACATTCCCCTCTAACCTCCCCCCACTTCCACTGAAACACAGGGTCAGCCACACTGGTATATAGAGGGTGTCTCAAAAGTCATGGTGCAGTTTTAAGCTTTTAAAAGAGGTAGAGAGATTTAGTTTTAAGCTATTAGAGCTTCTTTATGGTGCATCAAGGGGCCAGAAATCCTACACTTCTTCTGGGAAATGAAGAAACTGCGACCAAGAAGTGAAGTGATTTAACCAAGTTCAGTGAACTGAACTTGGAAATTCAGGTCTCCTAATTTTTAAATCTGGAGCTTCTTTTCCTATTCCTTTCCTTCAAAATGTCTTTTCTATGCTCCCTGAAACTCTGCCAAATTAAAACAGTGGTGGAGATCCCCAGCTTGACTTGATTTTGTCTGGCCTTTGGAATAATATTGCTATGGTAACTATTGCTACCTTCCCAGGGAGTCATTTTTACCCCTATTCAGTAATGCCGTTGTCCCATTCAGAGAAGAATCTCTAAAGGTTTGAAGGTTGGAGCAGGTGAAGATCTGTGAGCAATGAATAGATTGCTAATTAGCGTTTATGAGGGCATCAGTCATCAGTAGATTTCAAATGAGAATATTCTAGGCCTTCCCTAGGCAAAAAATGGGCTGTGTCCTTTGAGTAATACTTCAGAACCTATTTGTACCCCTCTTTCTATCTCTTTTTTCTTTCTCTTTTCCTCTTCCTTTTTCTCTGCCCTTCTGATTTTCTGATTTAAATTTTCTGATCTTAACTTTTCTTGACAATCTTTCTCTTTCCTCTCCACTTCATTAACTAGATATAATATAGAACTGAAGTATCTATTTTATTACTGGCTGATTTTATTGAATAATGTTTTATATCCTTTGCTCTTAATTTAAAAAAAAAAAGGTAAGTCAAAGCTTTTGTATTTTTCAGTCCAATCTATATCAAATTACTTTTTGGAGGAAGCCTTATGTTGATTTTTTTTCCTCTGAAGACTAATGGTCTTCCGTAGAAAAAGTTCTCTACCACAAAATAAAAGATTCATTCTTGGGGTTTTACTGTGTCTTCTTTTAAAATACAAATATTCCTAAGAGGGCTAGCATACTAAACAAACAATCAGTCAGTCATAGATTAATGAAGCTTAATTTAATCTGTTATTTTCTTTCTAATACCTAATAGAGGTCACATCCTGAGGAAATGGGAGTTTTCCTTAAGAGTATTAGGGATAGGAGAGAAATAAAGGGTTAAAATGGAGCATAAGGCACTGATTAGATAGGATTGAATGAACTAAAGAGTTTGAGGATTCTGGGCATTGTGAGTGTACTTGGTCCTTGGGAGGCAAGTAGTATGGGCTCCAAGAAATAGCAGAGGGACATTGAAGACAAATGTCCAATTTCACAATTTCGCTCCCTTGTTGGCCTTGGGCAGGGAACGATGATTGCTTGGCAAGGTCAACAGTACATTTATATATTCTTCTTTTGGCCAGGAGAGCTTAACAAAAGACCCCATCTCTATTTCAAGAGTAAAATAAAATAAGCTTGAGGTTATTTATCAAGAATTTCCTTTGTACCATTGTGTGAACTTTAATGGGGTGAGTTCCATTTAATATCTCCTCTGTTTTCCTCTCTTCCAGGAGGAATGCAAGCAAATCTTGGCCCGTCAGAAGCTGAACTCCCAGTCAGACTCCCATGATGATGAGATTTCTCCTCCTCCTCCAAATCCTGTCGTGAAGGCGCGTTGCAGACGAGGTGGTGTGAGTGCTGAAGTGTACACCGAAGAAGACGCTGTCTCCTACGTGAGAAAGGTGATTTACTAGGAGTCAGTTTGTCCTAGAGCCTATAAGTGGAAACTTTAGCAAGTCATATTTCTGGTGGAAAACATGAGGATATTGGAAGCACCAAATCATTTTATCCAATATATTAGACTATCTTAGGGAATTGGTGAAATGCCACTAACTCTTGTTTTCCTTCTGTTCCTGCTAGGCTCATATCTCCTGAAATATTTTGAATGAAAGAAGAATGAATAATTATATAATACCTTAGCAATATAATAAATACCCATGCAAAATGTTTTGACATCTATAATTTCATTTACTCCTCTCCACAATCTTTTCAGACATTATTATCCTTCTTTGACAGAGAATGAAACTGCAGCCCACAGAGGGCTGCTTTAGGTGCCGTGTTTGGAGAGAAGAAATGTGGCCTACTAGATAGATATCCAGCCTTGAAAATGGGAAGACTAGGAGTCAGTTGCCTCAGGATTCAGAGAAGGTCATACATAACTGAGGAAAAAACACTGGTTATATCATATATCTTGTGGTTACTACATGCAATCTGCAACAGAATAAAATTCAGTATTGAATGAATGATATCTATTTCACTGAAGTGTGGGGAAAGGCAGCTATCCAGAGTAAAATGCTCAGGGATATGCAGGGATGTAAGATTGCATTGGGGACACGTTAAATATACACACACACATATATGGATATTAATAATTAATAATACATGTAGTAATAAATTAATAAATGCATATATTTTAATGCCATGAAATCCTACTTATTTTTACCCATTGGTGGTTTTTTTTGTTTTAATGATCTTTATTTTTAAAAAATTATTTATTTTTAACATTCTTTTAAAAAAAATTTTGTGTTCCAAATTCTTTCCCTCCCTTCCCTCCTCCACTCATTGTTCATTGCCCATTTATTCATGATAAAAATAAGTTTCATGTATTATAGTGAAAGCCCAAAGCCTCCTGTGGACACTAACACATTGATGGAAGGAATGGAGGTAATTTTCTAACCATGCCTGGGATATAAAAAAATCTTTATTTTGCATTAGCTTCAGGAGAATAATGTGTCTGTTTATGGTGAAACCTCAAATGAAAACTGCCATCAAGTACGAAAAGGATTACTACTTAGTGGTGTCTACTGATGGAAGAAATAATACAAGACTGACAGAGTCAGGTGGGAATCATCCATTAGAGAGAAATGAAGATTTATTGATTTTTTTTGGAGGGAGAAAAATTCTTGCTCAATGCTCCTTGCTCTAAAACTACAGGAATCACTTCCTTGTAGCATGAACCTATTAACTCTCTTTTCTACTTAGTGACTTTTAGTGTTCACCATGTGTATTGACCCATGGTGAGCCATACTTTCTTTTAAGGAAGAGTGATAATCTTTGCTTCTCTTCTTCCAGGTGATCCCAAAAGACTACAAAACAATGACTGCCTTGGCAAAGGCCATCTCTAAGAATGTGCTCTTCGCTCACCTTGATGACAATGAGAGGAGGTATGAATCAATTCCTTGGTTATCCCAGTGGTTGGGCTAGGGCTAGAAATACTTTTCCTCAAATACAAATCCTTAAAACAAAACAAAACTAAACTAAACTAAAAGGCAACCAACCTGGTAACATAGGATTTCAATCAATCAATCGATATATATTAAGTGCTTACTATGTGCCACGCACTGTGCTAAGCACTGGGGATACAAAAAGAGGCAAAAGACAGTCCCTGCCTTCAAGGAGCTTACAATCTTATGGGGAAGATAGTGTGCAAACAAATATATGCACAAGAAACTTCATACAGGATAAATAGGAAATAATTAGCAGAGGGAAGGCATTGGAATTGAGGGGTTGGGGAAGGTTTTCTGTTTTTCCAACTTAGAAACAATGGGTGCCTGCCCACACCCAAAGAATGCCATTAATTTCTTACGTCTGTAAGATGTTCACTCCCTTTTCCCTCCATCTTCACCCACTTATGATGCAGGTTTTCATTTTAAGGACAAGAGTATCATTGTTCCCTGAGAATGCTAGATTCACAGGGCTTACAAAGAAAAAAATATATTGCTGTTTAAACACAGTTGTACTTTGCTTTAGAGAGTTATAGTTTCTGAAAAATTGTGCCTACATCAAATGTGTACAGGCCTAATCATATTTTTAAATGTATCAGCAGAACTTTCCCTTAAAATAAACTATGTTAGACCTTTTTATAAGGCACACAATTACCTTCTCATTTTCTGTTACAAAAAAACCAACTCTTCTGGGCAGCTAGGTGGCGCAGTGGATAGAGCATAGGACCTGAGTTCAAATCCGGCCTCAGACCAAACACTTGACACTTACTAGCTGTGTGACCCTGGGCAAGTCACTTAACCCCAATTGCTGGAAAAGAAAAAAAAATCAACTCTGGGCAAATTCACTCTTACTTCTTTGGTCCTCAGTTTCTTCATTTGAAAAACAAAGGGGTTGGTGGCTGAAGAGCTATCTTAAAAAATATAAACAACCAGAATTTGTTGATGCTTTGGTTTTTATATCGCAACCATTTCTGGAAATACTCACAATTGCCTGGTATGCTGGCCCACACCTGTAGTCTCCACTACTGGAGGAAGTGAGGCTGGTAGAATGAGTGAGTTCAGGAATTCCCAGCCTCAGAACAACTAAAGGATTTCCAAATTAAGTCTGACATTAATAGGATAATTTTCCTGGGAGCTGAGGGCAGCTAAACTGCCCATGGACGGCCAAACCAGCCCAAATTGGAAAAAAAAAAGTTAACATTTCTACGGTACTTATTATGTGCCAGTTACTTTACTAACTGCTTTACAATTATTATCTCATTTGATCCTCACAGCAACTCTGAGAGGTAGGTGATATTATTATCCCCAATTTACAGATGAAGAAAATGAGAAAAAAATCAGTTAAGTGACTTGCTTAGGGTCACATAGCTAGTTAGTGTCTGAGGTCAAATCTGAACTCAGGTCTTTTAACTCCAGACCCAGTACTCTATCTACCATGCCACCTACCTGTAATGTGGTTAAAGTTCCTCTGGCAATTCAGAGGATATCTACTTCAGCCCTCTTTACAAATGAAGGAATTGAGGCCTGAGAATGTCAAGTCACTACCCCAAGTCCACAGAGATGATAAAAATCAGAGATTGAATTTGAACTCAGGTCCTTATCCTAGCACAGAGGTGTCAATTGTGGAACCGATGGGACAGTACTTGCCAGTAGGGTCAACCAAGTTGAATGTAATTGAGAAATGTTTAACAAAATAAAATGCAATACAACATTAAAAAAAAGCTTCTGCGCTTCCTGGGGGTAGGGAACCTGCAGCCTGGGGATTTGTTCTGTGAAGTTTGGATTCAGTGAAAAGGCTTCATGTGAAGACTTAGAGGGCCACATGTGGCCTTGAGGCCTCAGGCTCCCTACCCTTGGTAATCATTATTGGGATCCATTGAAATTCTAGCCTGGGAAAGATAAGGAGGCCCAATCTAAAAAAAAAAATCCACAGTCTCTCTATCTTCAGATTGAACCCTCCTGGGTAAGGAAGTTATTTAAAAATACCCCATACAGTGACTATCCCTGACATCAATACGTAACATCCTTTCTTAATAGTTTCAGTCCTCTGTGCTGTGAAGAATGAGGCATGTTTCCTTATGTCTGCTTCTTTTTATCCAGATTTCATATATTGGGTTGGTTTGAAGGTAGGTATGCTGGTAGTGATTTGTGATATAAAACCTTTGATAGAAGGTTATTGATACCTTTTGAATTGACACCATACATTTCACAACATATATTCCCTCTTCTCTGTACACTGCCCCCCCCCCCCCACCAACACATGCAATCAAACCTTCCCTGGTAATAAAGAAAAACTGTTCAGCAAAACCAACTGACATTAGAGACAGCCTTGCCTAGTGAGCTGGTCTCCAAACTACTTGAGTGTGACCTTGGGAAAGTCACTGGGAAAGTCCCAAAGAAACTTGGGAAAGTTTCTGTGTTCCAGCTTTTTAAGATAATACTATGTAGAACAGTTACTGATTTGCAACTGTTTGGGGAAGCGTCTGCCCTGGGAGCTTCCTAGACCTGTGTTTCTCAAAATTTGGTTTGGGGAAGCTTGGGGGGTCCCCTTTCGGGGGTCTGTGAGGTCAAAACTATTTTTAGTAACAACACTAAGATGTTTTAATTTCTAATACAGTAAACACTGATAGATATAACCCACATACTCAAAAACTCTTTGGGCAGTCCTCAATTTTTAGGATTGTAAAAGGGGTCCTGAGACCAAAAAGTTTGAGAACTATTGCCCTAGAATGAGAAATCTCAAGTCTAGGAAAAAACATTTTGTTTTAAAGAATAACAAAAAGTGAACGTCTGACACTATGATTTTACCAACAGCATGATCCTGTACCCACTCTCCTCTTTTCTGTGAAGAAAAGAGAGAAGTATGTTTGATCATCTCTTCTCTGGGACTGAGAATGCTCAATGTAATTAATCAGAGTTGAGTTGCCATTTAGTGTTGTTTTTGTTTATATTCTTGTGATCATTGTGTATATTATTCTGTCCTTCTGACTTACTTCACTCTGCATCAGTCCATAGAAATCTTCCCATGTCATTCTAATTTCCTCATATTCATTACTTTTTACAATGCATAGTATTCCACTGTATGCATATACTTCATTATTTAGCCATTTCCCCAACTGATGCATACCCATTTTATCACATCATCCCTTTCACTATGCTAAGTAGATCAATTGAAGTGTTTTTGTAATAATGTCTGTGTAATTTGACATTTATTTCATGTTTCCAGTATTTCAGATAGTAATCAAGCCAGTGCTAGGAATTAGGAGACCTGAATTATGGTCCAGCTGGACATCTCAATTGCTGTGTGACCTTGGGCAAGTTCATTTCACTTTCCTGGGCCTCAATTTCCTTTTCTGTAAAATGAAGAGGTCCCTTCCTACTCTAAAATTCTATGATTCTATTACTCCAACTTGGAGAGAAAGTTTTGTTTTTCCTATAAATATAACTGATTAATCAGAAAACGTCATCTTCTTCAGAGTTCTACGATTGATAATTTTCAAAGACAGATGGGTTGATGTCTTTCACATCTGCAGCCAGGGCTGTTTTGCACTGGACACTTTTAAGTGTCATGTCTTGGTGCCTCATACTGTGAATCCTGACTTTGAGGGGGGCGGGGATCTTCTGTAGCAAAGCCCCTAACCTACATGTCTCTCTCCCATGGTTTGATTGTTGGCCTTGATTTGTCTTAGAGAGCCAGGTTGATGATAAGGAGAGGAAGCAGATGGTCATGTTAAAAATTCCTATTTTCATGGCTGGTTTGAAAGGAAAAAAAAATCTTCACAGAGAGGCTGTGTGTGTGAATCAGGTTCTTTTGTTTTGCTAGCAGGAAAACTCATTTTCTACATTTATTTCAACACCAAAGGGCCCACATTCCTGGCCCAGGGCCTCTAAAGAAGCAACTTGATGATGTGGGAGAAGCTGCTTGAACAGGAGGAGACAGGGAAGGCATCTTCTCTTAACCTTTCACATGCGGGCTCCCCAATGCATTACACAAATATTTTGCTTTTTTTCCTGATTTACTAGAAGCTGGGTTTAACAGCTTTGTGTCTGTTCATCTGTGGTTTGGCTAGTTCAAAGGAACCCTTTCCAAGTTTGCTGAGTGTCTGGCGCATTCACCATTTGCTATGCTGCAATATATCCTTTAAATTCTCTCTACCATATTAAAAAAATGAAATAAATTGAAAGGAGCCCGTTTGTGGAAAAAGCACACCCTTTGACCTAATGATCTCTTTTAAATATAGGTTTAAAATAAGTCAACTTGCCATTGACAGCTGAGTGGTTTTGCTTTCATCAGTAATAATAGTGCCTCTTTTTTTTAAAGGGTATTTAAAAGCATATTTTAAAAGTATGTTTCAGGGCAAGGATGCCCAGAGATGGAAAATAGAAAAGCTGGATATAGATAGTACTTCAGAAAAGGGCCTTCTTTAGTTAAAATAAGATGCTATCAAATAGAAGTGCTTCTAAGTTCTGTTTATTGCTACACACTTATGCAATATGAGCCACCCTTTAAAAATAGCTGTTAAATGTGAATTAGTGACAGTGACTTTGGTGACAGAGACTTGGGCTTCTTTTCTCAAATAATAATAGCCAAAACATTATCTCCCTCTCTTTATGTCATCCATTGGTACATTTCCAAGCACCAAGAACAATGCATTGATTCTACTTTTTTTTGAGATGTTATTTGATTTAAGCTCCATTTGGTGAAAGTTTCTAAATTATTTTGATGTAAGCCCATAGATGAACACTGAGTCCTATGATTTTTGGTGATTGTATATATATATGTTTATATATATATATTTTTAAATTTTAACATAGTATTATAGCATAATAGTACTAGGTATGATAAAGTATATAATATAGGATATAACAGTATAGAGCATAGTATGCAGTATAATGTAATATATAACATAGCATAGTATATTATAGGATTATAAAGTACA